GTCGCCCCACCCTTATTTAGACATCATCAGACACTTTGCTTTAGTAATACACAGTGCATATTTCAACAATTCTTTTGCTCTCTCAAACTTGCACATTCAATCATTCCAGTTGTTTTAGTACTCGCGCGCTTGCGTATTAGGCTAACTTAAGCTAAAAAGAGATAATTCCAAGCCTAAAGCCGTAAGGATTTTGAGTCTTAGGTTGGAGCCCATGATAAATGGTATTAAAGCAGGCTTTCCAAGTGCCTCAAGGGAGGTAGATAAGGTGGTCAGCCTTCATAACGAGGGCGTCACGAGGTTGAGTAGGGGAGAATGTCACGTTAAGCACTCCAATCTCACATTGGACTTGAAAAAGGGGGTCATTGGGGTATAAAATAGTTCATACCACCTCTTCCTTGTGATGAGCCTTTTGTAGGATAAAATCGTGAAGTCGAAAGGTCAAAGCAGATAATTTCTCACAAGAGTATGAACCGTGACAGATAGGCTGATCTGGGATATCGGATGAGTGCATGACCAAGTATTGGAATCACGCGGGCCTGGATGTTGAGTCTTAGCCCGTGATATAAGAACCAAATCTACTCCTTCAATAAGTGAACTAAATCCTAATAAATGTGACAAAACAAATTCATTATAGACAAAAAAGAGGAGAGAAATCTAAACGACTCGATCTTCTACGTTTAACTCTTCGATTGTTCAATGGCAAGATGTGGATTTAATTTTAATTAATTTATTGCTTTCAATTCAATCAATTATTTTTCCATCGCATTAAAAGGAAGGGGGATGGCATGGCCGCATAGGTTAGACCCCCTTACCCATGTGCCTTCCTCAAGGCTTCTTAGTTGGTAGGGTTTTTTTTTTTTTTAATTTCAATTGTTATTCTTAAAAATTTTGCTAGGTGAATTTGAATTTGGTTTCGATTTATGATGAGGGTGGGAGCTACTACTACATAGCTATATGTAATGTTCATCTTGCCAAATGTCAAACTCTAAGAGGCCAAGTTACTGTCGTTCTCCTTCACCATACAATTCATATAGCAAGCTAGTATCAGGATCTTTGTCGAGGTCAAGAAGTCGTACAGGTATTGCTTTTTCTTCTAGTTCTGCCTTTCTGCTGCTTATTGTGTTTTTGTCTCAAAAAGTTTGGTATATGTTAGCTCGTTTGATTGGTAAGAGTGTTGAAAGTGACGTTGAAAATCCTGGGAACCATTTGTAGAAGCATTTTGCAAGTGAGGAAAATGTACAGATGAGTATAACTTTCTTAATTTTGGTTAATGTTGTATCATTCAACGTTTCCATATGGTCAAGCAATATGTATATGTACTTTTTGAGTTCTTGCAAGTTACAATGAGAAGAATCTTAATATATAGGTGATTGATGTTCATCTTGTGATTGATGTTCATCTTGTGGTTGATCCGTGGACGAGAGAATCTCGTGCGTTTGGGTTTGTTACAATGGCCACCAACAAAGAAGCGAATAGTTGTATTAAGAATTTAAACTGCTCTGTTCTTGAAGGACGTGTCATTACTGTGAAGAGGGTGAAAGTTTCATAATTCAGTTTCATCTTGATTAGTGGCTGCTTTGATAGTTATTAGTAACTGTTCCTTGCTTAAAATTGTATAAAAATCATGGATGGTTAGCGTTACGAGTTTGAAGGTTGTATGTTTTTTTCCACTTCAAGTTTTTGTGGCAGCAGGCTAGTTAGATGTGTGTAGTAGCTCTTCACCAAATTCTGAAAGTCATATAACTAACCAAACAAATCAAACACAACGAGTATCAAACTGTTTAGGTTGTATGCCCTAAATTTCTCTTTTTTATTTAGCTGTTATGTTTTGTGCTGTTTCATTCATTCTGCATGTTGATTTTAATTTATCACCCCTATTTGGGGAAAAAGAAAAAAGAAATACTAACAACTATACTCCTTTGTGAAAAAAAATTTAAAAATTCAAAAATTGGTTAGAAATTGTAATATTTAGCTTGATTCGGATTGCTTTTTTTTATTATTATTATTATTATTTGGTTCAAATTAAGTTTAGATATTAAATTATATATTAAATTTATATCAAATTTTGAATTAAAAATAAAAAATAAAAAATTTAATTTATATATTTTTATAAATTTAATACATATTTTAAATTTTCATAAAATAAAAATAATTATTTTATATTTAAATTTATTTAAATATATTAAAAATTATATTAAAATAATATACAAAGCAAAAAAAAATCGATTAATTGAGTTGAACCGAATCAAATTATTAGAATTTGATCGAATAAAAGTTTAGTTTAAATTTAGATTCAAGATTAAAAATTTATAATTTTATAAATTATTTTAAAAAATAAAACAAAATTTGATGTCAACTATTATCATTTTTATTTTTGATCTACCCTCGCACCTGTTATTTGTGGATTGCTTGGTAATTTCCAATCTCATGCTTTGAGTTTTGTTTACTGCAGGCTAAGAGATGGAAAGGTGGAGCCCTTACTCCAAGAAGGTATTTGGGAATAATAATCATTGCTTAAATAATCAATTTAAGGTTAAATGTTTGGATAATTATTTAATTTAAGATTAAATGTATTATGTTTTACAAATAAAAATTAAATATTATTAATTTGTAATAATTTAAAATCTTTTTAAACAAAAATAAAATTGTGAAAGACACACAACATTAAATGGACAAAATATAATAAAATTGGCAAAAAATCAAATTTGGGTTGATTTGACAAAAAAAAAGTCAAACTTTGCTGATAAAAAATTTAAATGAAAATTTTTCATTTTTTATGTTTTATCAGTTCTCTCTCACGCCCTCTTTCCCTAATTCTTCAAATTCTTCGTAACACCAATCATGACAACCCAAAATCTAGCACTAGAATCGTCTATCACTTTTGGTCGTTGCTTGTCAACGGTGATTTTCTTGGAAAAAAATCACTAGGCACCAAAAAACACCATTTCTTCATCGCTTTAACGAGTCAAAGAGAAAGGAACTTGAAAAATATTTTATCCTGCGAAACTTGGTTGAAACCAAATATTTCCAGCATCTAGTCGGCCAAAACCCAAATTATCACCACCACCTTCATGAATATGACCATAATTCTCATTATCATTGCTAGCTAACAAACCTCTTCAAACCCTTACCTTTCTCCCAAAACTCATTCTTGATCTCTGTCCTTCCTTCAAATGGATTTTGTGCAATAGTAGTCAATGGTAGCATCCATATATTCTGCTTGAGAAATAACCACTGATATTGGATTCAATTGGTTTCTCCACCAAAAGGCCAACAGGCTTAGTAGGCTGTGACTAGGTGTGATTTTCTCGGCAATCAAACACTTTAATTGGGTGTGATTTTATTGAAGAGGGCAAACAAAAGATTTACTAAGAAAAGTAAGAAGCCCTAACTAGGTTTTTTATTGGAAAAAAGCGATCTTACTTTATTCATGTAACCCTAACTTCGCCATGGATTTGTTACCATTGAGACAAAACATAATATTATTTTTGGCATATGTGTTTTTTGCTTGTGCTCTAGATATAATGGAGAATAGTCTTTGTTTTTTTTAAAGGAAAGTGATAGAGATTACAGAAACTGGCAGTGGTGGAGCTAAATTGTGTTGAGGTTGATTGATTTTTTTCCCAAAGAAGATGTGGTCCAATCGATCGGGAAATTTTGAAGATGTTAGTTGCATCGTTCAGTTTTCCAAATCTTAATGGTATATAATTCAATCTGATGTTGTAATTTTTTCTGGTTTTTATACAATTCACTGATGAAATTGTAGAGAGGTTTTAAATGAAGCTGATTCCATTATGAAACTTTTAGGCCTAGTTATTTTGAATAGAAAACACATCTGGATATCTAAATCCGAAAAAAAATCACATCATCATCACATTATACTTCTCACACTCTATAACGACGTATGACATCTTCTTACGAGTTCTGTAATTGTTAGATGTTTTAGTCATCTGAATTACTTTAATATTTTCGAGCCAACTAGATTATGTTCTATAATTTTTCTTCTCTGCATTCAGTGCATCGCCTATCTTCTGGCTATTCTCCTCTAATTCAGGAAGCCAATGTTGGTCACCTCGTTAAAAAAGTTTTAACTTGATTATAAAAAAAAACACATGTAAATCAGATAAAAATTTGCAGATAAAAATAATATATTATTAGATGTTGACGTGAAAAGTAAATAATATAGTGATAACTAAATATTTATAACATGTGTCATTTTTTATTGAATATTAATATTACATAAGCAAGTTGATTAAGAGTGTCATATTGAAGTATCAAAGTATTTGACATGATAAAAATTTGGATATCAAAATGAAGATTTTATTTTTTAAAATATTAAACTAACAAAAAATTTATAATAAATTAATATTTTTATATTTAAAGGTTTAAAAATTTTAATAATTTATCAAACACATTGCTCATCTTTAGAGATTCTTTATTATCATAATTTTTCTTAACTATTTTAAGTTATGATGAAACAAACACGTGATTTATATGAACTTTTAGTAGAATCTTTCATGTATTGGCATAAGATATTTAAATTTCTTCTCAGCTAGTATTTTTCATAGTCAACATTAAGTATCAAATTAACACTAATATTTTTTAAAATAATTTTTAATTTTTTTTTTAAAATTTAAAGATAAATAAATTATTTAATCTCTCAATCAAAATAAAATATATCGTATTTGACAATTTAAAACAAATTATTATAAATTATACGTTTAAAATAACCTCAATAAATAATCACAACAAAACTTAAAAACTTTTTCATAAAAAAAGTCGAATCTAACCGTCCATAAATTTCTAATTTGCAAAAAGGTTCTAACCTCTAAAGCATGTAACAAAGCAAGGTTACAATTATTAAGAATGAAGGGCAATGTTGTCAATCAATGTCAAAGAAACAGGGAAAGTCCAAAACGAACAAGGATAATGATGTAATTACAAATATAAAATACTTCAGATTCAGAAAAACATTTAAAAAAAAAAGAAGGAAAAACACTCTCTATAAGAAGGGTTTGTTTTGCCTCTCTACCGTCCTCACTTGTTCTTCTCCTCTTCTTTGCTCCTGCAGAAGAGAGAGAAAAAAATGCCCTTTCATTTCTTCTCTCTCTAAATACCAAATCTTATTTTTCTTTTTCTTTATATTCAAAAACCCTTTTATTTTCTTTTGATATTCAGATTCAGGGTTTTACATATCGCTGAATTCTTCGCTTTGATCGGACGGTGGAGATTGAATCTCACGTGAACAGATCGAGGTATGCAGCAAGGTGATCAGACGGTGTTGAGTTTAAGACCTGGTGGTGGTCGAGGGAGCAGACTACTTTCTTCTTCTTCATCATCATCTTCATCATCCTCTTCTTCGTTAGCCTTTGGTTCCCGTTCTTCTGATCTTCCTCTCTTTCGTCCCCATGGCGGTGCTCCTCCTTTTTCAATTAAGGTTTATTATTTTATCCCTTTTACTTCAAAGCCCATGTCTCAATTTTTTTAGATCTAGCCCTTATTTATTTTTTATTGTTTTTTTTTTTTATCGATTTGGTGTCGGTTGGTCTTTTAGATGTGTTGCTGTTGGATTTAGATAGATTTTCTTTTAAAATTCTTAGTGTATCTGCTGTGGGCTGTGCTTTTTTGAATATTGGATCCTTAAAAAGTGGATTTGGTTTTATCATTATTATTGTTGATTCTATAAATTATCTTTGAGATAAAAATCGCTTTTATTTTCAGTCTGAAAGGCTCCAAATTTATTCTTTTTGTGCTCTTAGACCTTAGGAGCAACCTTGGTATTTGCCGAATTGTCTTTGTTATTGAGCAATAAAAGAACATAGAATTAGAAAGTATTAAACCTCTAAAAGAGGAAGATGTGATTAGCTTTGTCCTAATTCTTGGTGGAGCACTTAGTATGTGTACTTGCTGTAAATATGGACAAAGAAAAATATGTAGGCTTTAGGTGGGTATTCTATAAGTTTCTGATTGCCCATAAAGGACCTACAGACATTAAGGATCTTATATTTTTGAAACAAATAGACGTGCTCCGTTGATCAAAGATCAATGAATTTGTACTAATTATGGGTCAATCCTCTTAGCTGTGTTTCAATCGTTATATATGGATTTTATTTTGATATATTGTCGGTGGAGTTTAAAACTCTCTAAGCCGGTTTAATTGATTGCCATGTGCCTGTTTAAGTACAAATAAACAAGTTAACATTAAATTATTAAGTTAACTTATATAGTCAAATGGACAGGTGGCAATCAATTAAACCCACTTCTAGAGTTTAAACTCCACTTTTGGTGTATAAGATAATAATTATGGATATATTTGCCATTTGTATTCACTTGTGGATTCTCTTAATTGGGAAATAATAAGTTCAATTAATGAGTTGAATTTTATTATGTGTATGGACTTTTTTGGACACCAAGTACATCGTATTGAGGATTGTGAAGTACAAAAGATTGGGTCTTTTGACAATCTCCTTATGACACAAAATCTATAGATTTCAACTATGTAATGTCCTTTTATTTGGATGTTACTTAAGATTTATGGAGCTTATCTTTTTGTTTCTGCTAGATAAATAAGTTAACTTTTTGATAACCATGTTAAGAATATGCCTTATAAGTTCTTAGTCATGATTTAGAGTTTTTGTCTTACAGTGCCTGGTTTATCTTTAGACAGTTAATCTGAATGTTAACATGCTGCATACTGAAATATTGTTGGGTTATAGAATCTGAAGTTATCAATTGCTTTACTGTTGTAGGCTGGGAACTCACGATTTGAGGGTCGTGAACGTGTGCAGTACACTAAGGACCAGCTTCTACAGCTGAGAGAGGTAATTGTATAAATTGTGCCTGGTAGTATACTTCATCTATGCATCAGCAAGCTAATGTTGCATTTTGCTTCCAAAAACCAACCAGAAAAGAACAAGCTAATGCTTTTTATTTGCATTCAAGGAAGTTGTTTGCCTTTCATTCTGTTTCAATTACATTGAGTTGATCTTTGTAATTAGTGGTTGAACGCTATTTGTACTCTGTTCCAGTTTTATTTAGTTGAGATCACAAAATGGCACTTTGTTTGATACAATATCTTATTATCTTGCTTGTCTTCTCTTAGGCTGTAGAAGTTGCTGATGAGATTCTTAAAATCAAACGAGAAATTGAAGTGGAACTCTTTGGTGAAGCTCAAAACTGGGGTCGCGGGGAAAGCAACGTAAGCTCTAAGTTCTCTTTTGCTTTTTTTTTTTTTCCCTTTTCAGTTGGCTTATTTTAGTAGCAATTAACTGCCTTGATGAAATTTCTGTATTTTCAAATATAACTGCCAGGCCATCATTTTATGTTAACACTTGTTGCTCCAATTTCTGACTTTTGCTAGCCATCAAATCAGAGTCAGAACCGTTATTCCGAGCATGACAATCGTGATTGGCGTAACCGTTCAGCACAGTTTGCTCCTGCTGGAGAGGAGAGGTCCTGGGAATCTCTTCGGGATAGAGAATCAGGAAACCAATATGACTCCAGACAGCCAGAAGCTAATCAATTTAATCTCCAAGATCAACTGAACTCTCAGTTCTCAAGGGCACAGATCTCTTCTACCCAAGCGGTAATTAACATAAAAAGATACCAAATCTTTTCGTCTGTATAAAGCTGTTTATTGTTTGCATTGGCTGTTGCCAGGATTTTTAAAGTAATACTTCGTTTGTTCTAGAAGTTGATGGGTGAATATTCAAAGCATCGCGTTACATTCCTCTGTCAATATAACTTTTAAAGGTGAACTTTAGTTAGGCATTAGTGCTAGAATTGGCAGTTCTGCTTCACTTGACTTCTTAACCTCTAGGTATTTATATGAATCAGAGAGCAATGATTTAATAAGTTGCACCGGTAATGATTGCTCTGAATTTTCTTTAAATTTGTTTTATGTATAATGATGAGATGGTTCGACACTGTTAGTAATCTTACATTTTAGGATTTTCTTTCTTTTATTTATTAACCCTTCTGCTTCATTTCCATTGCATTATTGTGCATTAGTTATGAAACATATCGGTTGCTTGGCTTGGGGCACCAATTTCAGTGTATTTATTTTTTCCATAATGGCAACATTCAAGGATTTCTGCCACTTATAGTGTTTTGTCTTAATATTAGCTTTATAATTATTCCTTTAAGAACGAATTTTATCCCTACAGCAAGCTATGTCTGTCATTTGGCCTTGGCATTAACATTGGGTTTCCTTTGTTGATATAGGGAGGACCAACTCCAGCTTTGGTCAAGGCTGAGGTGCCATGGTCAGCTAGAAAGGGGAATCTTACTGAGAAGGAGCGTGTTCTAAAGACTGTAAAAGGGTAAATATAGTGAGAATATGTTTCTTGCATCATATATGTGTCTTTAATTTTGTTAACTAACTATAAAAGCTGTTTTCTTGCATCATACATATACTGATTTCTATTGATAAACCATAAAGGACCTTGTTTTTATTTATCTTATTCAAGATCTGATCTTAGAATAAGTATAATGGCTCCCTAATAATCTACGTAGCAAACCCACATTGGAGGAACATTTTTTTTGTTGCTTAATAAGTTACTGAAACAAGGCATTGCTGTGAATGTCCAACATTGGAATTTTTTTAAGGTCTATGAAGTTCTTAAATTCAGAGTTCAATACTTTTTGTATGGTTGGTATCTAGAACTTTAGTTTTGGAAGCTGCTGATTATGAGATGCTTTCATGATGACAAAATTAGACACTATTGAAAAATGCAAATGTATCAATTACCACTTGCAATCCATGGCTTCAATCTTTCAAAGAACTTAAAAACTTTTTAAGTGGATATTATTTTGATCGAGTATGCATATTAGGAAGAGGCAATCCTTTCCTTAATGGTGAATTTAACAATCAATTACTGCTTTTTCTGAATGGTTATGTTCTCTGAAGGATACTGAACAAGCTGACTCCTGAGAAGTATGATCTTCTGAAGGGCCAACTTCTTGATTCTGGTATCACATCAGCTGATATCTTGAAGGTTATTATTTTCTACATTTCTGTTATTCTTTTTGACATTACTACACCTTCCATATGTAAATTTAAATATGTATGTATGTGTGTGTTTCTGTGTGTATAAATATATACACACAAACACAAACTTTTATACAATCATCTGTATCGTGCTCTTTTCCAGTTACTGCAGTTGTGAGGAAAGTACTGATGGTATTTATGGTATCTTTACAGGGGGTTATTTCTCTAATATTTGAGAAGGCTGTTCTGGAACCCACGTTTTGTCCTATGTATGCTCTTTTATGTTCTGATCTTAATGATAAGCTCCCCTCATTCCCATCCGACGAACCTGGTGGTAAAGAAATCACCTTTAAGCGAGTCCTCTTGAATAACTGCCAGGAGGCATTTGAGGGAGCTGACAAGCTCAGGGAAGAAGTGGGGCTGATGACTGCCCCTGATCAAGAAATGGAGAGTAGGGATAAAGAAAGGATGGTCAAGCTCCGTACTTTAGGCAACATTCGTTTAATTGGTGAGCTTTTGAAGCAGAAAATGGTACCTGAGAAGATAGTCCATCACATCGTGCAGGTTACGGCCAATGCTTCTTTTCTCATCAATGAAATTGTATTTATAGCAAGTTATGCTAAATCATTTTTTTCTATTCTGCCAAACAGGAACTTTTGGACCATGATAGTAGAGCTTCCCCTGCTGAGGAGAATGTTGAAGCCATTTGTCAGTTCTTCAACACTATTGGTAAGCAGCTTGATGAGAGTCCAAAATCACGGCGCATAAATGATATGTACTTCAGCAGACTGAAGGAATTGACTACAAATCCTCAGCTTGCACCAAGGTTGAGATTTATGGTTCGTGATGTTCTTGATCACCGTGCAAACAACTGGGTTCCCAGGCGTGAGGAGGTAGCTCATAAACGCCATCAATTTTTCTGGGTTAGATTAGATAGAAGTTTGTTGACTAGTCCTTGTGAATGGATTTTAATACCAACATCTCTTTTTTGTATTGATTTTTGCAGGTGAAAGCCAAAACAATTACTGAAATCCATTCTGAGGCTGAAAAAAATCTTGGGCTGCGTCCAGGTGCTACTGCAAGTATTAGAAATAGTCGTGTTGTTTCTGTTGGTCCAATGAGTCCTGGCCCTGGGGGTTTTCCTATCACTCGTCCTGGTACTGGGGGTTTGATGCCTGGAATGCCTGGAACTCGGAGGATGCCTGGTATGCCTGGAATGGACAATGATAATTGGGAGGTTCCTAGGACCCGGTCAATTCCAAGGGGTGATGGTCTAAGTATACAGCCTGGAGGGAGTGTCCCGTCACAATTAGTCAATAAATCAACTTCAATGAATCCAAGGCTGTTGCCTCAAGGTAGTGGTGGCCTAATGAGTGGTAGGACAAGTGCCCTGTTGCAGGGAAGTTCAACTCCTTCTCGGCCATCCTATCGTATTTTGGGTGCTGAGCCTGTTTTACAACATTCTCTTTCTGCCAAACCTGTGCATGTGGCTGCTGTATCTCCAGTAGTGGAGAAACCACTAGCTCAGGTTTTAAGACTAAGTCCAAAAGATCTTCGAAGAAAAACACAGGCGCTGTTGGAGGAATATTTCAGTGTTAGGCTGGTGGATGAAGCATTGCAGTGTGTGGAGGAACTAAAATCTCCATCATACCACCCTGAGGTTGTGAAAGAAGCCATCTACATTGCCTTGGAGAAAAGCCCACCTTGTGTTGAGCCAGTTTTAAAACTTCTGGAATACTTGTTTATTAAGAAAGTTCTTACAGCTAGAGACATAGAGACTGGATGCCTGCACTATGGTGCCTTGTTGGATGATATTGGCATCGATTTACCAAAAGCACCAAATAATTTTGGAGAAATAATTGGGAAACTTGTTTTGGTTGGGGGATTAGATTTTAAGGTGGTGAAGGAAATCCTTAAGAAGATGGAAGATGACCTGTACCAAAAAGCTGTATTTTATGCTGCAATGAGGACCATTAGCTCAAATCCTTCAGGGCAAGCTGTGTTGGATGCACAGGCGTCCGAGATCGAGGACTGTCAGAATCTATTCTAATTCGTGCATGCTACTTTTAATGTCAGTATCCACAAGGACCTCTAGTTATCCCCCTACCAATTTCCCCCATTTTTGAGGCGAGCAACTTGTATTGTTTGATAAAGTGGAGCTGCCGGGGACAGGTAAAATTTTATTGAGTTGTATATTTCTCCGAGGTCATAGAGGTGTGGTGTGTTTATTAAAAAAGAAATCAAACCAGAATGCCATGGATTTTACCCTCGAGTGTTGGCTAATACATGCCAAAGTTCTTGGGAAGAATGGTCACCCTTTAAGGGATCCGGTTGTTTTGTATTTGATTAGTTTTTTTGAGAAATTTTTTTTGGTTGACTGAGTAATTTAGTTTATTGTTAATAAACTTAGCCTCATTAATCTCGAGTTTCTTACCTTTACCACAATCAAAGTGAAAATCCATTTTAGATTTCAATTTTCCTGCCTTAATCTTGTCATTCTTCTTTGATAGTGATGTTTTGGCATATTACTGGACACTTTGGGAATCCATGCATTCACTGAATCTATGACTAGGAGGATCTTAAATGTGGTGTCCTATGCATGCTCTTGTAGGGGAGCCAATGATGTAATCTTCCCGAAGCTAAAGTTTAGATTAGGTTACTAGTATGATGGCTTTAAGGCTGAAAGACAACTGTATTATCACATGTTAGTAGAATGGAGGAGACGTGTCATGCCAAATGATGATTCTAAAACATGTCTGTCAATTATTGGCATTGAAATGAAAGGGGGATTCTGAAAGGAGATTTTTTGTTGACAAAATTTCAGCTGCTGTAGATTCATACTTCAATAGTTCATTCTGCAATCATTAAGTATGCAGTCATCCATTATATCCTTTATATTTTGTTTGTTTAGTTTGGTAAGAAGGAAAATTGAGATATATTTAAATTAAAAATTAAATATTAAAAAGGCCTTATAAACATGCTTGTGGTTTTGTTTTAAAAAAAAAAAAACAAAAAAAAAAAAAACCATAATATAGCTTTTAAAGCTTTTAGAAATTTTATATCAGAAGTGATTACAAACGTTAATAATTAAATATTATTTTTTAAAAATGGTTACATGAATTTATAGAGTTAAATTTCGGTTCAAAATATTAAACCTTTTCTTTTCCTTTCTATATTACAATAAAAAGATAATGTCATCTCATGTATAATAATTCGCATAAAAATAAAATTATAATACATGAAATTTGAATATTTTTTACCTTTAAAGTATAATTTTTGTTAAGCATGCAACTTCAACAGTTTCCTAATGTGTACGCCCAATGCTACATTAATGGAAATTTCGACTCGCTCGCTGCAATTTGCACAATATTTTTACAATATAAAAAGTTTTATATTGCAATAGGTGTAAATTATTTTTTACAAAAAGAAAATGACATGGTTGCAACTACTTTTAATTTGTAACACAATTATATTAAAATAAAATCATAGTTGCATTGTATATATAAAAAATGTTATTAATATTTAAATTTTCATTTGGTGGCCGTATAAAATGCTGAAACTAATTATTTTTTAATTAATTTGATTTTTTTTTATATATACTACTAAAATTAGGTGGTTAAAATATATAATCTGGCTCTTTAAATGCCACAATAAACAAATAAACAATTCAAAGTCAAATAAATTTAAGATAGACCAAATTTGCCGCCGGATAGGTGTCGCTACTGGTAATTTATTTCTTTTCGGCACATAAGTTGAGTACAGAAATATAAGCAAGTTAAACAACTGCTACATGCTAATGTATTTAAAAAAAAAAAAAAAAACAAGTGCTGCCATAAATTCTATTTAGATTCCAATTAATTTAATTAATACATTAAACAGCCAATTATTAGAATTGCATTAAGCAATCATTAATCGACTTCTACGTACAACTGCAACCTTCATTAATATTAATCTTCAAGTACTTCTTTCTCGTCTTACACACACACACACGTGCGTGTGTGTGTCTATATATATATATATATATATATATATATATTAAGCATCTGCAGATGGAACTTAATTAGGTGGATGATCAAAGTCATATCCTGCAAGAAAAAAAAATCATAAAATTAATTTCATGATTAAATGTAGATATACAATGAATATGTATATGTGACAACATGTAAGCGACATTTAGATGTTGTAGTACTTAAATCTATATTCCACCAAGAAATGTATAATATATTTATATTAACGTACTGGATAAATTCAACGTTAATTTTGTCGCCGGAGGAACGGGAGATAGCGGCAAAGGAGTCAGTGGACATGAGAATTGTTGAGGGACATGGTGATTTGGGGCAGAAATCAACTACCTTGACATCAACGGTACCACCTTTGCACGGCCTTCTGTTGCCGCTCAAACACCTCAATCTGTAGCGCCTCCCGCAAGCCGCTCCATTGTCCCACAGCCCTTCACTCACTGCCACAAACAAATTTCCTGGCGGAAATTGATCTTCTCTATTTCCATTGCACTTGGTAGCTACATTCAGTTTTTTAGGATAAAAAGAAAAAAAAACAAAGGAAAAAGAATTTCAGAAAGTTGAGATAAATTTAAATAAATATATATAATTGACACGAAAGCTTTGACTTTTATAAATTTTATTCAAAATTGTTGGGATTGAATTCTAATAATTATAATTAAGAATTTAATATTTTATTAATAAATTATATGATTCTTGGCTTTGCCTTGTATAAAAAAAAAGAACAAACAGAGGGAAAGAGCCACAATTCACTCACGTATGTAAGGAGGACCGTAGGAAGCGGCAGTTCCAATATCCCCGAGAACAAAACTTGCTTCACTGCTCAATATGCTCAATACTATAGCTATGATCAATAAGAGAGCCATGATTTTTTCAGCAAATGAAACTACTTAACATGCACTCACGTTGGATTGGAAACACCAAGTTTATTCCTGTCAAATTTATATACTCGGATTTGGAGAAAGAGAAATGCCAAAACTGAAAAGGAAACAATATCTTTACTATTATTTTCAATTTTTGTTAGATCGTTCGTGTGGACATGTTGAAATCCCGCCCACATCCGTCTCCTTTTTCTAGATAAATTGGTAGATACCAGCGAACTCATCAATCACGGGTGACTTTTGCCACCTTAGGATTTAATTCGTTAAGAGATTTAACTTGTTTTCTTTTTTTTTTTTTTTTGGCTTTTTTACTTACTAGAAGGAAGGTATCACAAAATAGAGATGAGAACGCAGACCTTTTTTTTTTATGATAAGAGATTTACGAACGTTATTCTACTTTTTCAACGACGACCTTATTTATTGGATTCAGATTCTCTACGAAACTAATTACTACCATTTATAGAGATCATGTGTTGTCACGGATCAAACTTTTTTATTTTATTATTTTTGTTTTTTTTTTTAATTTTACCTAATTTTAAAAAACAAAAGGTAAAAGAAAAAACTCAAATAAATGTGAGCGAGGACACTTCTTATTCTAAAAAATTTAAATTATAAATTTTTTAAAAAAATTTTTGTATGTAAGACTCACTTAATATCAAGTTTTAAGCAAAAAATAGATGAATACATATATAAATATAAAATTAAATAAATAATAAAATATATGTTTTTATTATCTCACATGGTGACTTAGGACAAAGAACAAAATCCATTTTTAGTTTGTGTTCAATTTTTAATAAAAAAATCGACTCAAATTGATTTGATATTGTCATAATAGTTTTAGAAATTGCTAAACAAAAAATTTTAAAAATCGAAAAAAGAGAAATTATCATCAATATTTTTTTAAGGTGTGATTGATCATTCAAAAATTTATTTTTTAATAAAATAATAAAATAAGTTTAAAGTTTATCAAAAAAATAATTTTAGTTTATGAAAATAGAATTGAATTCGAAAATCAGTTACGTGTTGAAAAATATTAGCATTCCCACGGTGTCCATAAAAATTGATATCAATTAATTATGCGTTATTTTCAGTATATAAAATGGTTTCGGTTTAAAATTTAATAATAATTTTTTTCACTTTTGAAAAGAAAATCAATTTTATTAAAAGTCTTTGTTTATAAATATTGAAAAAATCTTTTGATTAAAGAATAATTTGAAAATTTTCTAATATTTAGGTAAAACTTTAAAGATAATTATTTTCGCTTAAAATTCATCACAATATTCCATAAAAATGAGAATAGCATTATTTGCAGATGATAATTGTTGGGCTTCTTCAACATCTTGATAGAGTATCAAGAATTACTTTCTTCATAATGTTATTTTAATTTTATTTCAAATCAATATTTTTGAATAACATTTTCCATAAAAAAACATTTTAAAAGAAAAATCAATGATACTACAATTAACTAATAAATAATAATAATTAAAAAATATTAGCACATGAAATGAATGCAAATAATGACCTAAAAATAAATATATGCAAACTGTTACGTGCATGACTTTGAGTTGAAATTTTGAAATTGGATTCTTAAATATAGCAAGACCACTTGGACTTTTCAATCTCTAAGTAGGGTTTAAGTGTGAATATTTATATTTAAGATCCCGTTTTTTATTTCTATTATTATAATGGGTTAAAGATTGTATAAAAAAATTAATGAAATAAAAATTTTTAAATACCCACATCTTCTAGGTGGCATTTGAGAATAAATTACATCATATGAAATTTTTATATAAATCCTTAGAATTTTGAGATGGCTTTGAGTTTGGGCAATTTAGGGATTTGGCTAGCTTTCAGAATTTAAGGTTTCATTTTAGGGTTTAGGTAACTTGGGTATGGGTTGGATTTAGGGTCTGGGTTAAATTTAAGGATTTTGTGGGTTTTAAAGTTTCAAGATTTTAAGGTTTACGGTTTTTAGGTTTTAAGATTTTAAAGTTTTAATGTTTTACGGTATTTCTCGTTTTTAATTTTTTTTAATCATTACTATTATTTTTTTTAATTTTTTAAGCAAAATAGAAATTATTGGTAACTAAATTTTCTCAATCATCCCTAACATTTAGGCAGATGTTTGAAACAAATTCGGTTTTCCAATTTTTCCTTTTTCTTTAAAAGTTCTATCTTTAATGCAATATGGACAAAATTAATGATGAAAATGCAAACTAAAAAAATGTAACAACTAGTTTGATTTATTCTACTTAATCTTATTTATTTTTCATTAGAAATTTTATATCTTGAGAGCAAATTTTTATTTTTTAAATTAATTTTAAATTAAATTAATTTAATTTATCTAATTATCTAATATTTAGGCGAAATTAAATTTTTAAAAAATATGATTTTAAATTTCCTCCAATATTAAGGTAGGGTTTCCAAAATCATTTAAAAAAACCAATTTTCTTTTTTTTATTCAAACAATGATAAATATTATTCATTTAGCAAAAATTATATATAAAAATATAACATTAAAACAAATATCCATAATTTTTAATTCCTAAAATATATAATTTTTATTTCAATCCATATAAGCATAAGACAAATATGAAAGGACATGTAATAAAATATTCAAAGAAAAGAGTTTATACCCAATAATCTTAATGTTAAAGCCCAAAGTCAATACCAAGACAAAAAAGCAATGTTGGAGGGCCCAAAAATCATTGGATCAGATGGGAAACTGGGTTGGGTCAATCACGGGTTGAGTCAGACTAACTCAAAAATCAGGTCAAAATGATTTGGGTTGGGTTGACCTACCTAGCAGCTTTTTTTTTCTTTTTTTTTTACAACTATTAAAACTTTTTTTTTTTTTTTGTTTATAAAATCATTTCATCATCCCACTTTAAAAGAAAAATTCTTTTCTCTTTAAAAAGATAAAGCCATTTTCCAATCCAATTTTCGACGAAGAAATTGTTGTCATCGTCAAACCTTGTCACCTTTGCTACCACCTACCGGTGTCATTTGGCCTCCAAAAAAAAGTTGTAAATTCTTCTCTTTGTCCTCTTCTGAAATCCAACTTTTGTTTTTTCCAAAATGGCCTAGATTTGAAAATCTAAACCGTAACTTCAAACCACAAGATCTACTCCTTCCACCGTCTGATCATCTTACAACTTTAGTATGATGTTCTTCTCCTTCTTCTCTATCTTTCCACCATTCTTGATCATCCAAGAGTAGAATGCTGTGGACCATTATGAGTCATAGTCACTTTTTTGCTATCATTGCCGCTAGCTATAGCCATCTTCTTTCTTACTTCTTTTACACCATACCAAAATGAAACCTTACCTATTGTTTAAACCTAAAAATAAAATCGAAAATGCTACTTTTTTTTTCTATGGCATTAGGTTCCTCACTGTGGTTTTGTTTTGTTTTGTTTTGTTTTGTTGTGATTTTCATTTTTTTTATGGTGGTTTTTTAGATGGAAGGAAAGATAGTAAGGTGTTGGTGTTGGAAGCTAGATCAACTAGGAGTTTATAGATTTTCCCACATTAGTACATATCTGATTCTTCTACATTAGTGTGGCTTAATTTTCTTATTTATTTTGAAAATATTTTTCATTTACTCTTCTATTTTAATTAACTATTCTGATTGTCAAGTTTTTATGGATTTATTTTTATTTTATAATAGAATAATTCTTCTTTCTTTTATTATTTTGTTTTCTGTTTCATGTAAGTTGTTTCCTAATAAGAAACTTCATTGTTTCTATTTATTTAGATGTACTCTTTCATTGTAGATAGAATAAAAAATAAAGATAATTGTTTTTTAAATTTCTTACATGGTATCAGAGTAAGCCAACCTAAATCATTAACTATAGTCACATGAGTTTTTGTTATAACTAGCAAGAGTGAGAACTCTTCTTTTGCAGAGATATGGTATGAGGAAAGTCACAAAGAGCTGATACTCCAATAAACCCTTCAAAACAAGTCTACAACCTTTGTAACTAGTTTACTAGCATAAAAAGATAATTTTTTAAATGCCTTAAGTGTTCAACGAGGAAATATACAATTTTGGATTATTGATTCAAGAGCATCAGATCACATGATTGGAAATGCATCCTTATTCAACGCATATAAATCTTGCTATGATAGTTCTGCTGTAAAAACTATTGATGGCTCTCTTTCAAATATGGCAAGAATAGGTTTTATTGTAGTTTTGAAAGACATAATACTCGACTCTATCCTCCATATTCCTAATTTAAATTATAACCTACTTTATATTAATAAGCGAAGGATAGATGTTGGGCTCGGAGAGGATTATTGGCAATGCTAGGATGTGTGAAAGGCTTTACCTTTTTCAAGATGATGCACTTAAGAGATTACAAAATTTTTGTATAGCTTTAGCCTCTAATACTAGTAAGGATGACCTATTATGTTATGGCATTATAGATTAGGACATCCAAATATTTCATACCTAAAAAGGTTATTTCCCTCATTATTCAATACCATCTCTAAAGATTTTCAATGTAAAATTTATCAACTTTTCAAGCACACTCAAAATATCTACCCTAGCCTTTTCTATAAATTATCTCAACCTTTCTCAATAGTTCACAATAACGTTTGAAGACGTCAAGAATTAATAATATCATAGGTTGTAGGTAGTTTGGTATATTCATCGACGATTATACTCGATTCACTTGGGTATTTCTTATGAAAAAAAAATTTGAGGTTCGTCAAATCTTTCAAAACTTCAATAACATGGTACAAACCTAATTCCAAGCCAAAATCTAAGTCCTAAAAATTGATAATGAAAAGGAATACTTCAACCCTATTCTCGGTCCTTACTTCACCAAGCATGGCATTATCCATCAAAACTTTTATGTTGATACTACACATCAAAATTGGGTTGCCGAACTCAAAAATAGATATTTGATAGAAGTGACTAGATCCCTCTTATTGATTTTCAATGTGCATAAAAATATTTAGGGAGAAACTATCCTCATTGCAACTTAGTTGGTTAACTAATGCTTTCTCACGTTCTTGACTTCAAAAAAACTTTGTGAAACTCTTCTTGCTTCCTATCCACAATCTCGGTTGATCTTTTTAATTCTCATCAAACTCTTTGGTTGCATTATTTTTATTCATATTAGCCAACAAAACCACAAGAAGTTGATCCCAAAGCCTTAAAATGTATCTTTCTTGGTTATTTCCTAAATCAAAAGGGTTATAGGTGTTATTCACCCATCATAAAAAAATTTTATAGCTTTATGAATGTC